ATGAAAAAATTCACTGTGACCAGAAAGAACCTTCCCAGGGGATGCCACTGGGTGCACTAATTCAGAGTCAGTTTCTAGATGCTTGCCTAGTGAGAAAAGTGCATAATACAAAAACTGTCCAGTGGTGCATTTTTCCCGATTTTTTGGGTACCCCCTTGTACACTAACACATCCAGTACATACAATAACACATACCAGTAAACAGCATGGCGTTCAATGGGAATGATTGTACCACTTACCAAAATAAGCCCTGATATTAATGAAGAAGTGCCTGTCAGGGCCACGTAGAACTTCGGTGTTAATGTATTCAGAAACATGCTCACTGAAAGACAAAGGGGGCAGAGAAAGCAATGAATACCAGCATACGTCAGTCAAACCAACTCTTTTGTTTTTCTTTGATGAAATTCTTTCCATCTCTGATGACAGACTCTTCGAACCATAGCGAAATCTCACTAAAAATGCCTCAGCAGGACAGACCACCAGCTGCAGGTATTGCTGAGTGATTCCGACTCCTGGTCACCCCACTGTATCAGGGTAGAACTATGCTCCAGAGAGGTTTTCAATAGCTATTTTTTGGGGGAAATAGATTGCCAGCCTTTCTTCCAAGGTACCTCACGGGAACTCAAACCCCCAGACTTTCAGTCTGCACCACATGGTGCTTCCCAGTTTAACTAAGGGCTGAAGGACTAGAGGTCAAGTTATAGATTCTTTTGAAATGAACAAATAAACACAAACCTACATTATAGGAACAAAAAGGAACTTTTTGCCCCTTCTCCCCTCCCCACTGTGCCCTACCCAAAGAGCAGCTTTTTAATTTATATCTCTAAAACATATTGAACTTTTTTTGTATGAATTCATAACAACTTTAAAGTTTAATCCAAGGTAGTACGCTAGCACAAAACGGAAGTCAATGGGAGAACGTGCCCTTCTCTGCCCGTGGGGCGGCTGAGAAAGTGCTCGGCTGCTTGCGAAAGGCTGCCAGTTTGAAACCACCAGCCGCTCCATGAGGAAAGATGTGGCTGCCTGTTCCCATAAGGATTACAGCCAAATTCACGGGCCCTGAACCAAGCTGACTCACAGCGACCCTATCAAGGGTTTCCGAGACTATCAGTCTTGAGGGGAGCCAATAGTCTTATCTCTCTCCTGAGGAGTGGCTGGTGAGTTTGAATGATGGACCTTGTGGTTGGCTGGCCACTCTATGCTTATGCAACAGACCAGCTGAGCTCCTTCCCCTGGGGGGCAGTTGTAGACTGGGGTGCTGGGAGTCAGAATCAACCTGACAGCAGTGGGCTTGTCTTGTGAGACCAACGCATCATCAGATTACAGTATTTAGACCTTTGGACAAATGGACAACAACTGTATCAAGTAGCTACTAAAGATGGAAATAATACAGCAACCTCTAAGAAGGAACAGCACCTGGGCAAAAGGCACCACGCGGTAATTAAAAAAAAGTCAACTTAACTTAAAAGACTATTATACTGCTCGTCAAACTAATTAGATTCATTTTTTAAGGTGGAAATGGGATATTCAGTGACTCTTCATTGCTGGCACACTTCTGGTCCACGCCCGCCACTGTATTGCTGTTGCCTACATAGTTAATTCAGTTGTTCAATTAGGGCCTGTTGTTTCCCCAAAAATTCCAACATCTTGTCATTCTAGTGTCTCACAAATGTTTGAAGCCCTTTGTACATCAGACATATACTGTATTCGTTGCCATTATTTTAGATACCACACAAAACTCTGATCCTATTCATTGCCAAACAACTCCTGGGTGGGCTTTTTGCATGCATATCTCTATCCCTTGACTGAGGGTGTCTGTGGAAGGGAACAGCAGGCTGGTCAGCTTCAGAAGGAAGGCATTCGGCCTTTTATGCCATCGGGGGAAATGGCTTTGGGTTCTGTTTTGAAAGCAGCCACCACAGCCCAGAAAGCAAAGTAATGTCATCAAAGTGGACAGAGAAGCCATGTGTCCTCATTTTGCAAATATTTCCTTCTGTGAATGAGACCAGGGTCCGAAGCTGCAAGAATGAATCAGACACAGTTCCCCCCGTAGAAGCTTACGGACTGGTTTGAAAATAGGCTGCTAAGTGCACTGGAAGGTGCTGTGCACAGGATGCTGTGCTAACAGCTCAGGCTGGGGCGTCAGGAAAGATACCTGGGGACATTTTGGAAACACACTCACTACCGTCCAGTCAACTCTGACTCCTAGTGGCCCTCGAGGACAGACTGGAATTGACCCTGTGTGTTCCGAGGCTGTAAATTCTCCACTGGAGCAGAAAGCCTCAACTTTCCCCCATGGAGTAGCTGGTGGGTTTGAATGGCTGACCTTGCAGTTAGCAACCCAAAGCAGCTCTCACAACACCACCAGGGCTCCTTGGGAACATCCTAGAAGGGACATGTACATGACTCCTGAGAGCGAGCAGGAGTTAAGCAGGCCCAAGAGGACAAGAGGGAGAATGCAGGGGAGGGCAGCTCCGGGAGAGGAAGAGTCCCGGGTCAAGCACAAGGGCCGGGAGAAAGGGCCATTCCAGCAGCTGCATGGCTGAAGAGCGCACCCCGTCCCACAACTCACCCCCACCCTCCTGCTCTGGATGTGTCGCTTTGAATTGTGGTCTGTCACAATCACAAGAGTACACCATGTACTCCGGCAGTATTCTCCACTAGACCTGCACATAGACACTCCACCAGCCAGAACTTTATTCAAGGCAGGCTTAGATACACTCCCTGTCACTACGCTGCATCTCATGACAAGTTCTCGCACAAAGGGCTAGTTGACAATTATTTGAGAGCACACAAAGAAACATTAATACATCAGCCACAGACAGAGGGGAGGATAAAGTCAGGAATAGGGAGTAACTGATATTTTGCAGGCTGCTGTGTTTCAGCAGCCTTGCCAGGGAACAGGGGGAAAGTTTCCATCTTATCTCAGCTGAGAGTCAGCCCAGACGCTGCATCATCCGCTCCCACGGTTGAGCCATCGGCATGTCCCACGGGCCTTGAACTGAGGAAGGTGGTGGTCCTGCCCCACGTGTCTAATGAGCAAACACTTTGCCCACACATAGAACAAAGTAGATTCTTCCCAGAAAGTAGAAAAGTAGAAATGATGGGCTGAGGGCTGAAGGACAAGCAAAGGGAAGCACAGGTGAGGTGCTTGTTGGGTTGGCCATTAAGAGAGGGGACGGGGGCAGCTAATGGTTTTGCATTTCTCAGGCAAACGCTAGTTGGTGGAAGGAGGCATATTAGAAAACCAAATCAACAAACAAAAACAACCCTGCAGTTTGTAACTACCAAGTTGGGGGAGGGGGGGTCCCTGAAATTCTCAAATGCCCTTCCTCACACTCTGAGCACCCCTCACATTCCTCATTATTCCACGTACAACAGCTGCCAAAACCTGCAGCTGGAGGTTCTGCAGTTGGAGCAGCGGGATCTGTACCGGGTACTACTCGGTCGATGGCTGGGGACAGACCTGGCACAGAATTCAGTGAAAGCCATTCGAAAAGGAAGAGGAAACGAGATCCCTGCTTTAGGGGCAGCCTAGTAACCCTGCGCTACCACGCCTGCTACAAAGCAGAAAGCCGAGGAGGAGGCTGCTTCCCTCCTGAAAACAAAGGACCGAGTCAGAGGGGACAAACGATCCAAGAACTGATGGCTAAATTAAAAAAAAAAAAAGATAAAAACATTCTACTTATTTTTAAAAAATTAAGATTATCTAGCCACAGTTAAAACCAATTTCCTTCTTGTGTCCAGTTAGGGAGCGCTGGCTAGTGCTGGGAGAGAGAGAGAAGAGTGGGCATTGAAAGAAAACAGACACAGAAGAGAGTGAGTGAGAGGCAGAGACATTCCTCTGGGGGGGCTAGGGGGGCACTGGTTTCACTGCGGCTAGAGGCTGGGTGTGACCATCAACACTCTGTACTTGGCCTTGTACTTTAGCTCTTTCTATGAGGCTTAGAAGAAAGCATTTTCACATTATCAGAGCATCGACTTTCTCATTGCAATGCCATGAAGCCAATTTCCACGATTAGATTAGTAGTTGTATTTTGCAACTGGAGACAGGGTGGCGACTGGAACCTCATTTGCCTGCAGCCAACATTCTGAAATACTGGCGGCATGAGGTACGTGGGGGAAACGCATAAACCGGGGAACAGCAAGGGGAACCAGGAGCCTTCGTCGGACAAGGAAACGAAGCTCTTCAAACAAACCCACTACCATCGTGTCAAATCCCACTCTAGGGGACCTTACAGCCAGAGCAGAACTTACACCGTGGGTTTCCGAGACCGCACCTCTGTACAGGAGTAGAAAGCCTCGTCTTTCTCCCAAGAACTTTTTAGGCTACTTCCTCTACATAAAAGGTGAACAATAATAGGTCTCACGATTAGGCTGTTGGACGGGTTCGGGGTGATGGTGTAAATGAAGGGTCTAGGAGAGTGGTTATCATGGTGGTGGGGGTTCCGGGGTTGAACTACGCCATGTTTTTCTGGCTCTCATGGTTACCAAGTAGACTGGCAGCCCTTTCTTGTCGGGGGCAGAAAGATGAGACCTTTAATTCCCGTAAAGATGTACAGCCTTGGAAGCCTACAGAAGCAGTTCTGTTCTGTTCGACAAGGTTGTGATGAATCAGACTCTACTTGACTGCAGTGAGCTTGGAGTTCTTCTGTGGTACCCCTGGGTAGATTACAGCTCAATGCAAGGAAAACACAAATCCTCACACTGGATCAATGGGAACATCATGATAAATGATGTCGTCAAGAGTTGAATCTTGTTTGGATCCACTATCAATACTCATGGAGCCAGCAGTCAAGAGATCAAACGGACCCTCCAGACTCCTTACCTCTGGGGTATAATAAGCATTGGTCTGAGTGGTTAATGAAAGGAGGAAATGTAAAATTGAAGTGAACTTGGGATTCTTTAGTGACATCAAGTTTATTTCAAACATGGGGGAAAAGAGCTCAAACAGCCATTGCACTGGGTGGATCTGTTGCACACGACCTCTGAACGCCTTGAGTACTAAGTGCATCGGCCCAAGCCACAGTATCTTCGATCGCTTTACCTGCACGTGAAAGTTCGGCTTTGAATAAAGCAGACTGAGGGAGAATCGGTGCATTTCAATCACGGCGCTGGCAGAGAACACTGAAGGTGTCATGGGCTGCCAGAGGCACAAACACACGTCTTGGAAGAAGTACGGGCAGAATGCTCTTTAGAGGCAAGGATGGAGAGATTTTGTCAAGAGAGTCCAGTTGCTGGAGAAGGACTTGATTAAAGTAGAGGGGCAACAACGAAGAGGAAGGCCCCCCCAAAATGGACTGACATGGTCACTGCAACAAT